TTTCTTGAGTCAGTCCATAGCCTTGGTTTTACCCATCTGGGAATCTGTTATAATGCTGCTTCGTGGCTGTTCTTTCTAGTGTGTTTCAGCAAGGTGCAGCCTCTTTCTATAGCAATGATTCCTTGCCTTGCTTTTAAAGTGATTTAAAATTAGGGCATGATTCCATGGTTGCAGCCTCCTCTCGCTTTTCCTGCATGAGAGCCACTAGCCCTATCGTGTTTTGCTGGCAAGAAGATGGATGATCCTCTGGGATCATCTGAATTAAGGGAGCTGTTGTGAGCTGACACACTCAGCCTGATGTTAGGAAGAAATCTGGGTGGGGAGGAAGGGATGGGTAAATTCTTCTTTCCTTACCCAGGGTGGGGAGCAGTTGCAGAGCTCATCAGTGACCCCTGCTCTGCCTCTACAGATCTAATCCGTTTCCCATCGCAGGGGAGGAAAGAAGAAGAGGCGTCTCTGTGATAATAGTGCATTTGGGCTTGCTGCTGCCCCATCTACCTCTTCTTTCTCCCTCATCGCCCCGTGAGGTGGTAGGGCAAGCGCCGTGTCCCCGAGGATACTGTCAGTCGAACAAAAGGAACCGTTTGTGTTCCTGCTGATTGGTTGTGCTGACTCTTTGCCTTGGATTAGCTGTGGGTGCAAGGAATTCTCTTTCTGCTGGATAATGAATGCCTGTAAAATGCAGCGAGAGAAGAATGATACCTAGAAGAGGGGGGTTTATGATAGCGTAGGGCAGTGCAAGCAGTTGGCCAAAAGGGATCATTCACTTAGCATAACTTTTGGTGCTCTGCTAGCTGTTAGTAGTGGGCTTTGAAAACTTTACAGTTGTAGTATAGACAGTGCTATATTATTTAAACTGCAAGTTCCAGGAAAAAAAACCCCAAACCTTAAAATCCATTGCTTTTTTTGAGATGAGCTATCATTTTGACATTTTTGGACTCCACCTTTACTTTGCGATACAGCCTGTTACGTGCAATGCTGTGCTACTCTGTGTGCTGAGACACTGGACTGCTTCAGGCAGAAACTACGAGCATGTTTGGAGAAGATAATCTTAATTACCACAATTAAAAACCCAGCCATTATTGGCCTAAGTTATCCAAATGTTGTTACCCTCTAGGCCAGAGAAAGATTATTTTCCCACTGTTAAGAAACATGATGGAATCAGTCAGCAATGTGTGTTCCAGCAATAAATATTTGCATATAGGCTAGTACTGCAAAGATTTTTTTTATTTTATTTTTTTTCCCAGCAGCTAGCTGTGTCTCAGCAGTGACTTGAAGGCTTGCCAGGTCATGAAAGTCAAGGCCAAGCCCTTGTCAAAAAACAAGCTAGTGAGGACCTTTGGACGCCACTGTGCAAAGGATACTGTTTTAACTGAACAGATGTTCTCAGTCCAAGGCTGATACTCTTGGAAGAGGTGCCAGGCAACAAAAATAGTTGTATTTTCTAGGGCAGATGGAAAAGAATGCTGTGTGTTTCAAGCTGGTATTTTATTTTGTAGTTGTGGCGGATTCAAGTTGAGGACTTGGGAGTTGTGGATGGCTTTCTGTAGATGAGTCCTGAAAGTGTATGTTGCTCTCACTATTTGGTTTCATGTCCTTAGGAGACAAAATGCTTGAATGTAAGTGGACCACCTGTGTGTTACCACACCATTCAAAGCAGCTAGAAAGCTGTCTGGAGTAGTCAACACCACATGCTCATAAAGGAGTGAAATGTCTTGTTATTCTGGGAAGTGCTGAGACGTATTTTTAGCATGGGCTTTTTTTTTGAAATTGGCTGAAACATGATCTCAGAAACAGAAATATCTTTTGTTGTTGTTTTCGTCTGTTCAGAGTGACAAATTGAAGCACACAGTTATAATACAAAATAATATTTTATTTGTTGGTACGTATGTATATACAGCATGGATATGCTCCATAACATTAGCTATATTCCAAAGCCAAAAGCATCTCAGTTGGTCAGCTAAGGAGGCCTTATATATTAGATTTAAAAAAAAAAAAAAAGCACTATTGTTAGCATCTAATTGAAAAAACATTACTCTGTTCTTAACTTTGCAAAACTCCTTGCCCTGCTTTTCAGCAGCCTTAATATTTAATTAACTTCTGGTATAGTCACTTATTTTACCAAAGTTGAAGGGTTTCTTTCTAATTTTAGTGCAAACTATTAAGTTTGCAAAGGTGCTAGATTGAAGTAACGTGCTTGCTTTGAAGAATTTTGTTAGAGAAACCACTGGTGGCTTCCAAAACGTTTTCAGTTAAGATGGGTTCATATTTAAATAGTTGTCTTTAATCTCTTCATTTTTATAGTTGACAAAAAGACAAAATTCTCTTCATTTTTATAGTTGACAAAAAGACAAAATTCACCTTTCTCAATAAATGGGTTGATTTGACTTTATAAAGCCGTATATTTCCTGTTTATCATGTCAAACCCTTGTGGGTTTGTTCTTTTGGGTAGAGATGGAATTTTTGGCTCTGAAAAGTAAGGATCTAATCCCAACTGCATTAAGGACTATTTCTTTCTCTTTTTTTGGCTGTAGCGTAATGGTATTGAGGTGGATATAAAAAAGCATTCTTCAGCACTATAGTGGGAGAAGCAAAGGAAAAAATTTCATGACACAAAGTACAGCGATAGTTCCTGATGTTGTCACTTTATACTGCACGACATGGCATGTGTGACTAAGAGAGACTTTCACTGAAATAGTTTTGTGCTGGTGCCTGTTAATTCAGCCAGTCACGTGGGTAACTGTAATACATAACAATATGTGACAATCCTAAGGTATTCTGTAAGCACCAAAGACGACTTTGAAGTTATCTGGTCTGGAATGAGCGACCCAGGCAAAATTAATTTTAGATTCATTGATCCTTAAAGACTCTGCATATGTATTACTCACAGGAAGAATCAGGACTTGGTATCTTTCCTAAGTTTTATTAGACCGCTGCCCAAACCAAAAAAGCTAAGGTGATATCACCAGTTTAGGATTTTTTAATGCTGATGTTGATCATTGCGCATGAAAAATGAAGGAAGACACCTCTTCAATCGATCGCAAATGTTAACAAACGGGTGGTAGACCTTAATCCAAGCAGCACTTAACTTTGCCAGTCCTTGCCTCCCGGTAGTGTGCGGTGCAGTCTTTAATGTAATTTCCTTGAGCAAGCACAGGTTTAATAGGCTGACTTACTAAAAATTGCAAATGTGACAAATTTTATTCCCACAAAACTTTCAAACCTAGAATATGCTTCAGTAAGCAGTTGGACGAGGCACTTTTTTAGGTGCAACAATTGAGAGAATTTTCAAATGTTTTCTGTGGTATTTATTGCTTGTGGGATGTAATCATGAATGAGCATGGGATAAGAAATATTAAGCATAGTCATAAATCAGTGAACCATTAGTGATGCAACCAGTGAACCAAGTGATACAATACTTGACATTGTCTGGCAAGGAATACAGTCAAGATTTTCAGTATCTTTGGCCAGAAATTGGCATGAAGTGTTTAATGTGTAGAATTGTTGATGTTTTGTTTTGGGTTTTTTGTTGTTGTTGTTTTTAAATTGTTCATAACTGATTTTACTATTGAAGCTATCTAGTTTCATGTGTGTGACAGTCTTGAAAGATTTTAGAACTAGTAAGTCTTGTCATCTTATATCTGGTTTTAAGTTATAAATTAAAAGAGGGAAAATGTGTTTCTGTCTATTTTATTAATGAGCAAGCTAGGGATTGAACTGAACTAGACTGAATGGGAAAAAATACTTTTTCAACTTACAGAAGAGATCACAGCTGTCAGGAGTTGGTTCCGGATTTCAGCACGTCATGGTATGGGGGTTTAGACAATGAATTCTCTCCACTCAGTGTTATAATTCACAGTAAAGCTTTGACCAGAAGCATGGACTGCTTGACAATTGTTTACCTAACTTTAATTGTTGATGGTATGTCTTGGTCTTAATACAGTTTATTGTAATTTCAAATGAAATTTAAAACATTTTAGAGCAATACAAGTAAAAATATCCTAAAATCTGTTTAAAAGATTAAATCTTTTTTAAAATCTTTAAAAAAAAAAAATTAGCCATATTTTCACTTTTTTTCCCCTTCTGCTTTCTTCCAAAACCATAAAAAGGCAACATAGTCCAGGATGCCTCCCAGGTAATACAAACAGAAGTCTTTTTTTCAGTGGTTAAGAAACTAGTGGAAGATTAGATGATACCTCATGGCAGCTGATGCTGAGATCCCTCAGTCTGATCACAGAATTTCTAACTTAAACCTTCCCTTATGTGAATTCCTGGTACAAATATTTGTAATACTTTTTATATTCCGAGTATAAAAAATTTCTTGATTAAACATCCCAGTTAGTCGTTTACTTTTCTTCCAGACCATAATGTTGATGCTTCATATTCGGTTCAGCTGTCGTCCCCAGTTTGTTGTGAGACACAGCCTGGCTTTTGTGAAGATGAATGAAAAGCCTGAAACCTGTTACTTGTGAAACTTTTATTCTTGGAAACAGTTAGAATTTAAGCAGATTTATATTCCCATGTTCTGTATTTTAAATGCACACACATCTAGGGGAAATTCTCTTCATACGTTAAAGTTACGTGTGGAAGTCAAACACGAAAAGGACTGTTAACTGTTATCTGCAGTTATCAGCAGGTCTAAAGCTATCAAGCTGTCTCATTTGTAGTAATACAAGAATTGCAGCAGGATATGAACATTTTGTGGTGTTTGTCTTAATTATGTACTTAGATTCTACATGAGCTTTTCATCTCAAACTGCTTTCAGAGCTATAAATTCTTTAGTAGGGAAATGATAAAATAAGTTTTAAATCACTGACACTGGACTGAAGTTTGTTTCAAGAAACTTGTTTATAAATCCAATTGTTTTATATAAGGCAAATCTGAATTAAACTGAAAAACAACTGTTAGGTTTCTGAAACAACAAACTGCTTCGTAAATGCCCTAATATCTAGGATTTTATTTACTGTTTAGGAGGCTAATTCTACAATTATTTTATGCAGGTTCCAACTGGCACAGCTCGTCAAAGTTATCCGGCTACCAGCTATCAGGACTTCAGCAACTGGGAGTCTCTAATGAAAATTAAAGAGGGGCTGCTAAGGCAGAAAGAGATTGTGATCGATCGGTGAGTAACCTGCTTCTGCTGCATTGATTAGATGAGATGATGTAAAAGCTATGATGTAGAAACTGACTTTCAGGAGAACTGCTTACTCAGTAAAGTTGTTAGGTTCCAGTCCAGCAAATATTTATGCACAAATACGTGGGAGCTAATCCTTGCTAGGAGAGAAGACTGGCTGCTGGCTAAAAGTCTTTTACAGAGTTGGAAATCTACTTAGGGGTTTAATGCCTCTGCAGTGGGAAAGGGAGAGTGAGACCAACAGTCAGTTCTGCTGTCAGCTTCCCCAGCTTAGCTTCTTACCAGTCTCGGGGTTTGTATCAAACATCTTTCCGTTGGTACAAGTCTTGGAAGTGACTTGCAAGATGAAAACTGGTAAACTGCATTGCCCTGATTTTCTTTTCCATCACAAGTACAGAAATGCGATATATTTGAAGCCAGTCGATAAAGCTTTGGGAAGATGGCCTTTGCAGTAACATTCAGTGGTAAAATCAAATGCTCATACAAATTATTCCCATAATAAAATATTAAATCCAGGATCTGTATGTCAGTAAATACATCGCTTCTTATTAAAATTGCTATCAATCCAAAATAGACCTTGGCAGCAACTCACTGCCATTAAGTTTCTGGTATATCTGAAGTAATTTCTGGAGTTCTTGATGTTTGGATAAAATGAAGCCTTAGTGAGGGAAATGTGCTTTTAATAAAGGGCTTGAACTTAATGAAGCTTACACTAAATTAGCAGACATCATCAGGAGCTGCAGAGTTTGGATGTAGGACATTTAAGAAGGCCATTTTTATATTTGACATAATTACAATTTGGCTTAGTCTGTGTTTTAATAATAAACTCTTGGCTCATGGCTGAAAGAGGAGTGGTTGTTCTGATCTCAGAATAGTTATGCTGTCTTATTGATACTTTGCTCCACAGCATGAGGAGAACTGTGTAATGTAGGTGTGTGCTGATCACAGGAATGTCAGGCATTCATTATAAATATTTTCATATTTCATCTAGCAGTTCCTCTCTTTTAATGGATGGAGATAGACAACTTGGGCATAATTTACTTTGGGACCAGGAGAATCATCCTTGTGCAAGATCCGTTCCTTCCTCTATTGCAACAGAGCAAGGAATTGCAGTGGTTTAAGGTGTTTCTGTCCCCTAGCAATCTGGCAAGTACCTCTGCTGGCATTGTAGGGATGAAAGTCGGCATCGGCTTCCCCAGCTCGATGTGGCACATTAGTGTGCGTTTACCCGCCCCTGCAGCTGAAGGTGGTACGCAAAGTTACGAACTGCAGCAGCTGAGGCACGGGCACACGATCCCGCTCTGCCAGCTCTCCTGCAGAGGTGATGATCTTCCAAGGGAATCAGCAGTTAAAATGGAAACAAGCATTGCTTAGATCTCCTCTGCCAGAGCCTTTTGATCAGCTGCTTAAAGGCTGTCGAAATTACAGTGTTTTTTTTCAGGCTTGCCATATCAGTAGTAATGCTGTATAACCTGCAGCCCACCTGTCAGGGCCCAAGCTGTCAGCAGCATTTGTAAGTACGTTGCCCATGATGGCTAGCGGTGGTCTTTGGTGCCTCTGCTGAGCATATCATATCCTCTGCGCTCTACATGAAGGCTTGTTATACAACGGCAACTAAAAAGGCAGTTCGTGTTGTTCTTCTCACCCTGGAAATGTGTTTACGGTCAAGGGTGAAGTTTCTGAAGTGACAGTTTGTAACCTAGTTGCCTGCTAACGTTACTTGATACTGTCCATGTTGAGGAAGAAAAGCTATTTCTTGATACCCAATGGCAGTGTGCTGGTTCTTTTTTTTGTACAAGTCATACTTTCGTGTGACTTAATGGTAGTGAATACAGTTCTTTCTGGATTTCTGACCATAAGTTGATTGAGATGATTCCTTTCCATTCAGCTGAAAAGGCAAAATACACTCAGGAAGCTATTGAAGCAAAACAAAGACCACTTAGGGATGTTACAGTCATTTTGTTTAAGTAGACACTTGGCATTACAGTTAAGCGTGTTATAAATTATAATGATGCAGTATAATAATACCTCTCAGAAAAGGCTCTTTTTTGGATATTGAGCCTCCACTTGGGCAAAATATTTGCCTTAAATGCTATTATTTTAAAATGAAATAAAATTATTTAAAATAGATGGCTTGTATTGTTTAAAATTAGTACAAAGTTATGTTGCATATTTAGAAAGATTTTACAACAGTTTTTTTTTTAAGAAGAGGTAGTATTTTCTATGACAAATAAATACATTTTTAGTTTCACTGATGGAGAAAATGGTACATAGCTGCTGTTCAAGATCCTAGAAGTAGAACTCCATTATAAACCAGTAGTGTTACATTTCTTATTAGATGGGGCATTAATAAGACTTAAGTGTGAATAATACCTTTCTTCAAGGCACTAAGCGAAAATTTGATATTATCCACATTCAACACGTGGGGACACAAGGCCTTGCACTGACAGTCACGATGATATTTGGGAGTAAACCTAAGTCCTCCAGCTCCTGGTCTTCCTGAGCTTACTTTAAACTTCTTTTCAGAATTTGAATTTATTTGGAAATAGTGATCTAAAATAAAAAATGCAAGGTTTGCTAACGTGTGGTTAATCAGGATTCAAGATGGTGGTAGTTAAATTACAGAATTTATGCTTTCAGGAAGTGGAGGAGGAATTCTTTTCTTGACTGAGGTTTGGTGGTAGGTGTTTGCTGAGAAGGCCTTGCCTGCCTGTGCTTCTCATGGAGTGTGAAAAGGCGTAGTCTCCTTAAGTCATGTTTCATGCTGAATTTACCAACTGGTAACTGGAGGATGCCAGCAAGACTTGTTTAATTCTGGGTGGACAGAAGCTTGGGAGAGACAAGTTAACCACCTGCTATGTGGAAGCCAGAGGAGCAGGATAGTAACTGGCGTGTTGCTCCAGACCCAGCTGTTTGCTGCTGGCAGGTACAAGGAACAGCTGGATGAAAAGAAGCGCACTGGGAAGACCCTTCTCTTGCCCTTGTCACACCAGCCTCCCTTTCAACCACAGGGCCATTACCCAGTTTTTTTAAGGCTAAACCCTCTTCAGTCAGAATTGCACTGGGGCCCCACTAATCCAGGAGGTGGAGGAGATCAAGATCACTTCATCACTTTGCACCACACACCTTGTTCTGCATAGCGATGCTTAAATTTGTTGATGAGTAGGAAATGGAGGCTCTGTATGGGGCAATATATCCTTAAGCTGGTCTACCTTTATCGTGTTAAAAAAGGGAGGAGGGGCAGGAGGAGGAAAGAGAAACCTGCTGCCTGCTTCCCTTCTTTCCACACAAGGATGAAAAGGCAACAAAAATCCCGCCTTTCCAGTTTAGATTATTAAACTTCCTTGTTTTGCATCGGAAATCTAACAGCTTGGAGTAGCTGCAAGCAAGTTTCATATAGTCATTAGAAACAATTCAAGGAATAATGCTTACAATGTAAATCATCGTACTTGGATACCTTGGTGTGTCACTGGAAATTCAAAGCCGTGAACAGAATTTTTAAAAACCCAAACAGCCACTTGCGTCTGTGAATAGAACAAGTGGCTTGATTTTTATTCTATACACTGTGTTGAACAGCAGATTTAGTAATAGATTAGTTAAAATTGATTTGATTTGTGTAGTCTGTTCAGCATAGCAAATGCGTATTTTTAAGTATAAATGAACAGAGTAGCATAAATGGGTGGGTTTAAAAGTGGTTTTGGTTTGCTTTTTAAAACTACTCTAGGAATCACTGCCAATTTAATGAATTAGAGCCTGAAATTGGCTTTTAAGTCTGCTCTTAAAAAATGGGATGGAGACCGTACTTTTAGGAAGCAAAAACACAGCGTGAGGAAGGGAACCTGGCATGTGTGTGTGCACGGGATCGCAATGGCACTTCCTAAAGGTGTGTGTCATGTTTTCTCCACGTAAGAGCTGTTGGTACAGGCTGTGAATAAGGAATTAAGGATTTTGTCTGTAAGAGGAAATCTGCTGCTGTAACACTTATTGCTAGAATGTGTCACCTACTGTCCAAAATAATTGGATTATATCATTGCTTTACTTCTCTGGCGGTTTAGTATGTAACACTACGTTATATTTAGCACCAGAGGGAGCCAACAGTGTTTGTATTGGTTTAGAAAATTACGGCATCACATTTTAATTCTTTGTGTTGCTCCTCTGTTCAGTACATTCACAGCACTGAAATTACAGTGTTTGGTACAATTGCGAATGTCTCTTGAGACTGGCCAGCCACTCTGGTGTGGTCCTGGCACTGTTTGTTGTGCAGGGGGTATGTGAATAAATGTGAAATATCTGAACATATGACATAAGCTGCTGAGAATAACACTGTGCATGCAGTGTTTTCTTCCAGACAGTTTATGGGCATTTGAACAGCTTTTTAAGGAAAGGTAGATACAGAAGTATAATTTTAGTGAATAGCTGTCATTCCTCAGGGCATAATAACACTTACGTTCTTAAAGCAGTTGCTAAATCATTAGCTTTCCATCCATAGCTGAATCATGCTTAGACATTTTCATTGGGATGATAGAATTAGATTTTCTTTGCCTTGTGTCAAATTGTCCTGACTTCAGTAGTTGACATCAAACTGTATGTGCTCTGATAGTGCTCCTGTTACTGCTAGTGTAAGTTACAGCTTAAAATTACAGCTGTAATTCTTTTAATTTGGGATGGTCTGTTAAGATCTGCAGCATTAGCATATCCACTTGAGTAATAATGTGATGCCTTTTTTGAGGAAGCTTTGAAGCTTTACACCACCCAGGGTCTGAGCGCATGCATGTATAACTGGGAGTCCTGTGCAGGAGTAGGGCTGTGAGGAACCTCCTCAGAGTGTCTTGCTTGTAAAATATCCTTTGCTTGCAATAATAGCTTGAAAAAGATGCATTTATCTTTTTTCTGATACCACCAATCACCCAGGTAACTTGTGGTTGAGGCTTTTGTATCTTGGGCTGGTAAACTTTCAGGAAGATTTTATTACAGAGTAATCATAGAAT